TATTAAGGTGTGGTTATAATGGGAAAATGTCAAATACATTTTATGAAATACAATCATTGTAAAATAAGATGTACCTATATATACATATACGTAGTGCCTTACATACCTTTTCTTAAACAAAAAAAAATAATGATTTTCATAAAATCATTATTTAATTTATTACACATTTCAAACAAAATATATCTCATGGTGCATTAACAACAACACTGCAAATTCTGAAAAAAATGAAACAGTATTCATTTATATTTCATAATTTATCAAGTATGCGAAAAACACATATTAAAATTTTAAGAGTTCCGGGTTAGCATTACTATATAGATATTAAAGTATCATATAGAGCGCTGCTTACTCTGCGAAACAAACGCGTGTTCGTGTGTATCAAAAATTAATAAAATAAAACAAAAAACGTGATATTTTTAGGAAACTTCGGGAAAATTATGTACTCTTAGATATAGGATCTAAGTTTAGTTCTGCATTTGTTATTCCATGTCTTAGTGAGTTTCGTAATTTTTCTTCAACTTCTGTTACGACGTGAACCGCACTTCGTATAATTTGAAACTTTTAACGTTATAAACAAACAAAAATATTGTTTAATGTATTCTATAATTATATAATAAGGCTCGATTTCTTTTTTTTTGTGCAAAACACGTTGTTAAACACTATTTATACTGACTATTATCACAAGAGGGAATAGGAACTTAATTTTGTTAGATATTGTTGCGGATTTTGATAGTATTTAACGAGGAGATATTAAAAGGCGTAGATTAGTTGCAATGATAATTTTATTGTGTTATATATTTTTATGACAGGGTAAGTAAAAAATTAAAATTACAATAAACAAAGCGCCTTACATTTAAATCGTTCCGTAACCTCCATATACTAAATTGCTTCACAATTTTTACAGGCGCTTGCGCCAACAGATATACTTACTATTGTATGTAGTATTAATTTAAACATATAATATATAAGAAGAAGACAGATCATTGTCTTTCGAGTCAGATGTACATAATTATTAAGAAATTAACTTCATTGAGGTAAAATTTAACAGATATTTCTTGATTATAGGGCGGTACGAAGTCCACCGGATCATAGGTATACGGTTTAAGATATCTCGGATAGTTTTTGAGAAAAGTTTTAAATTAAAAAAAAAATATTTAAATAGAAGGTTACTATCAAGAGAACAATATACGGTAATATTAATTGAAATAATAATAAGCATTTATAATATTTTTGAAGCTTTTATTTTACTATAAATATACCTATAACACACAGCATTTCTGTTCTGCGTTAATTATTTAAAAACAATTCTATTTATAAAAAGTTGAACTAGAAATTTATTGTATAGGATATAAAAATTATTCAAGTTTCATTATAGTTATTATAATACAAATTTAGTTTAATAATGTTTAAATCTTTTTTCACATTATGGATTAAATTAATATTGAACAATTATTCACGTACATGTTTCATTATGAGCTAAATGATAGTACATATCTTAATATGGTAATTGAGTTAAGCGATTATTCTATCAATATTAAAATAGTCTTTTTTCTTTATATTTCTTTGCTCTATAAATGTATATTTTTAGCGAATTAAACAAAGTGTAGCAATTTATACTACTTAAAAGCTATTAATACAGAAGGACATTATCTTTCGTAAGCGAGCGTGCGCGTGCTAGTGTCGCCGGAGCGATGACGGACAAGCGTTGTACAGCTAAAGTCTATGTGGACTGAGTCTGACGAGTGACGAGTTCGGCGCAGTGCCCGCGGCCGCTAGCGGGGCCAGCGGGGGCCAGCGGGGCTACAGGTGCGAGGGCCCGGGCGACGCGAACTATAGACACAGCGCGCATCCTCGATATATACATACGTGCAATTTAATAAGAAGTTTGTCCGTCGCAAGAATTAAAAATATCAAATTAATTTTAATCAATTAATAAACAAATATGTATGTATCGAAATGGATATTTTAAATTTACAATACAACACATAATCTAAGTTGCTCCGCTACACTCTGTTTGTATTCATGTTAAAGTAAACATATGAAACCTTTTTTACGTATAATTTATTTAACACTTTTACTTTTAACTTTATTCATATCTTCCTTTTGGTTCATACATTTGCTAGGTATACATCAATACCGCTTTTTTTCTTTTTGATTATCTTTTAAAAATTGATGAAAGCTCGGAGGACTCAGTACAAACATGTGAAAAGAGTGATAATGCGCTTTATTTATTCATTCTCTCAACTTGATTGAGGTGAGTGAAATAGATTTGTGATGACATTAAATTAAGTAATTTATCCTATTTTAGTATGTAAAAAAAAATTAGCTCAGTTCTGTCAAAGGATTATTTTATAGTACTTATTAAGATAAGATTTCATAGTATTTAATTATTTAATAATACTTTTTAAAACAAAGTGCAATCAATAAACATTAAAAAAATCTTGACCATTTGTACTTCAATAATTCAATTTCATTTCTTTTTTAAATAAATTATTGTTAAATAATAGTACGAATTTAATGAATATAAAACCAATAATAAGCTCATGAATTTATTTCAACAAAAAAATATTCTGGTAACACTGGAAGCACTGATTATTTTGTATTGTTTAATGTCCGTTAATTGTCAAATGAAATGGAGCTCTCTGATTGGTCGGTAAACTGTTCATATATTTTTTTCGCCATTTTATTATTTCTGAATATTGTTACATTGTCATTTGTTTTTCGAAGCACAAGTGAATAAGTTTTTATTAGTGAACAGTGAATTAATTTATTAACAAACTATGGAAAATTATGGCTGTGAGTTCTGTGCTTGTGATATGTGTTTAATGAAATTAGTTAGGTACGAGTAGATTTTCAATATTGTCGTTTGGTAATAAGATTAAAATAAGTGTAAAGAGAAGGCGTGTGAGTTGTGACTTGTGACCAGTTAAGATTGAACTAAAAGAAAGGTAATGTTATTCATTTTAATAAAAAGTATTATGATAGTTTTAATTAGTTAGCAGGTTGTGTACACAAAAATAAGTTACTTTGTTTGCCTGTTTTTTTTTTTTTTTCAAATGATAATAATAAGAATGTTTGAATCTCCACTGGATATTCCTATTTAAATAACTTTAATAAAGTTGTGAGGAACAGATCATAATCGTTTTAAGATACTTTCGTGGCTCAGAGGTACCTAGTTGAGAGATTCATAAAGTATATAGATGTTCGTTCTGATCGGCCTGCTGTAAGTTGTAACATTATGCGCGAATTTTATCAATATTTAAATGAAATTAATATTTTCTGATTTCTTCGCGTACATATTTTATTATGTTTAAAAACTACATATAATATCCGGGACGAATCTTGACCCTGCGCAGTAATAAATAATAGATGTCGTTTGATGTGCGGTCTGAGGCGAGGAGCTCATTACTACAGCAAACATGAAACAAGGCCGCCATTACTAGTAAGTAGTAACCATTGCAACGGGTGGATGCGTGGCCCCGCGCAGTGACACCGCGTCTCCCGTCGTTTGTTTTTGTTTTGTTGATTTTGTGGGTTCTTTCTTTTGTTATTAAAGGAAGATTTTAACGAATTTTACTAAAATTCCAAGAAAAAATAATATAGTTCTAAAAAGACAAGCTCGAAAAATGATTTACGATGTTTACTGTTTTTTAATAATGCTAAAGATAAAATAATTAACCCATTGTATTTTTTTACGTACCTACCATTTAATATATTTAATATTTATTTTTAGATAGTATGTACGTGATTTTCGCAACGACTATATCTGCGCAAAGGACGCCATGTTAGGTCAGGTTTCGTGCCGGGTAGTATACTTCCGACGCGACGTTTCGATTACTTTGCAGCAACCGTTATCACGACAGACATCCCGTCTGCCCGTTAAAAACAATAAAATATTAGTTTCATTTCTAAATTCAAATCAATACTTGCGAAAGACATCATTATTATCAATGATTAGAGGAACAAATGATGAAAATTGTTATTTTATTTTTCAAACATATTCTGTTTACCGTACCTTAAGTCTGTACTAGGCACGCCACTGCCCTGTTTTTACATCAAGTACTTTTAAGATATGAAATATTTAAAAGAATGTCTAGCTTTGAATTTTCGTAATCACCAAAATTACTTCACTATATATTTATTATTTTTTCTATCCAATACAAATGCGGATTTCATGAACATTTAAAAGGTCAACTAATATCAAAAATATATACAGTACGTTTATTTCTCAAATTATTTTATAAATTATAATAACAAATCTGTATACAATTCACTGGGCTAGTACTGGAAAATACCTATTCATATTACGCTTGTGTGAATTAGTGCACCTGTAAAAGTATGTTTTGCATTCGAATACAGAAAATATAGCAGAATTTATTTAAATTAAAGGGTGTTTCTCTGCTATTTAGAAACTCATTACTACAAGACTGTCCTAACCAAAATTTATCAAATGTTGAGAATGTTTGTCAATACAAAGCAAGGTAATAGTATATCAAAAATATATATTCAAGAAACACACACATTTTTTTCTTTGTTTTTGAGGTATGAGCGGTTTTGTGCAAAATCGTGACAGGGTAATGTTGTGACTAACCAGGGGAATGTTTTTATGAACAAAAACTAATATTTTTGTATGTTTAAATAATCAAATCTTTATTTTTATTAGCACTTACAATGTGTAATTATTACTTAAATAATCAACGAGATCAAAACTAAATTCGCTTACAAAATAGAGACATTTTAATAACATTTGTTATTAACTGAACAAAATCAACTTCTTACTTTAACAGTCTTTCTAAAATACTGATTGTTTGACATAAGTCAGCTCTTAGAATGTTAATGAAAATAAAAACAAAAATATTACCTCTGTTATCCTATTATTACAATAAACTTTTTGGCTTACAACTAAGAAACATTTATACTTTTTAGGTAACTTGAAATAATTATCATTAGTGGCACAGTATATCACTAAAAATCAATTTTATCTTTCAGAGAAACATCTCTTATTTCTCAAAGACATGTACTGATTTTCGAAAACTATAAAATAATCTACTTCCTTTAACAGTCACGTTCGGAACAGGCAACTTTTCCAATATTTGGTCAAAACCGACATCAAACATATCATTCTCATCTATTCTAAACGTGTAACCTTTGTTATCACAAATTTTCAGAAAAGTCACTGTTAGTTCGCCGTCCTCATCATCTACTTTATTAACAACAGCAGCATAACGATATTCCCTGTTCCCGACAGTAAACTTAACTAAAACATAATCACCACTGTTATAATAAGTTTGCTGAAGGCCGCTTGTACTAGGCTCCGCAGTATTCTCAAGATCAGTCTTAGTATTTTCAATCGGTCTTAAAAGGACAGTCTGTGTAATGCAGTCATTATTCCGTGGGATTTGAGCTAGCGGGATTTCGTCTTCGGAATCGGAGTCTGTGTAGAAATCCTCGACGTGAAGTTTTGCCACTTCATAGTTCATAACACCTAGGTTAAAATGCTGGCATTCTTCTTCACAAGGGCAGCTTAAGCTCTTCATTATAAGTTTGGCAGTGCCTTGTGGCAAACCCAAAGGACTGCGTGATATCTTTCCCTTAATCTGATGTATTTTAAGGGTGCCATAAAAGCTTTTTAATTTTTTGGCATCTTTCAGAATATCGATAGCCATTTTTTTTATTGCATCATCGTCAACTGTAAATAGAGTGATTGAAGGACACCTTTGACGTACAGAGTCTATAAAAGATTCCAAACTATCGATATCTCCTCCTGCAGCAACGACAGCATCAGCAGATCTTTTGCACGTGGCGCCAATACCATCTGCGGCACTCTTGCCATGGCCACTCTCTGAAAAATTCCAGGAGAACTTTTCTACATTTGGAACCTCCACATGTGGCCTCGAAGCCAGAATATGGAACATCGTTTTATTTCGATACTGTGTAACGGGTCCGTCGCTCACAAAATGAATGCCGGTAATATGCGATGGTAAAGTTCTAAAAATAGGCTTCAAATGTTCCCAAATAGCAGCAGGTGAGTGTGTAGTATTTTGGGAAACAGTACAATAGGATTTTAAGGCATTTTTAGTGTAAACTACCACGGTATGAAGGCTAAGCTGAAGTCTAGAACCTCCAAAATGATAGGCCTGTATCTCCTCACTGTACTTGGTACAGTAATTTTCTGAAAAGTCCATGAGTGTAACAACTTCATTATCATTAAGATTCTCTTTTAACTCTTTGATAGCTGTGTACTGATGAAATATGTTTCTTTCGTGGTTATAATACGCATCCAGTTCATCGTGTAGTTCTTGTATTAATTCACGAGGACTAACCGTAATTTTCTTTTTCACATATTTTGTTATAGATCGTACTTTATTTAACTTTGGATCTTTGTAATCTTGTTTCTCAGCTATCCATTTTTTATACACTATAGGCTTGCTATCATCAAACTCTTGGTAATCAGGATTCTTATTAAAACAATGCTGACATTCCCGAGATAAACATTGCTCATCATAACGATTACAGCAAGTTTTTTCAAGCAATTTATTATGATTATCGTAGCGCAAAATCTTCCGGCAGTACAAGGCAGATAATTTCATATCAATGTTTGCGTGTCTGATACAAAGGCATGTATCCCGTTCATTTATTTTGGGTGTTACCACCCAGAATGGACGCAAACGACAGAATGTCTGATAACTGATTAGACCTGAGTGATTACTCTTAAATTTCTGGTACAAATTGGTCAATGTATCTAGCAAGTATCTCTTTTGCTTTTTGACTCTGTTCTTGGTTACACATTCCCGTTTTCCTGCACCAATTCTGCTATTATCATCATTTTCATAAAAATTTTGTACTATCTTCATATGTTCGGATGCAATAAGTGGTAGTCGAGTCCGTGTTGTGGGTAATAATGATAGATTTTTAATTTTCTGAAGCCTCTTATAGGACACCACACTTTCTTGGCTCCTCCATAACTTATATTTTTCAACCAATTCACCTGATATAACTTTTCCGAAAATATGTTTCTCTTTTTGTGTTTGTAATCCTGCATAGTTTTCTTTTAATTGTTTATTTAATACTTCCCCAAAAAGTGCCTTCTTAACAACGTCTTTGCGAGTTGATGGAGTGACACACATTCGTGTTAGTTTTGTGTTAGGTGTCTCATCTTTTTTTACCGTTTTTATTAAGTTTTTGTTCCAACCGTTGTAATCTTTTCTTATATTTTTCCAATTTCTGTTTGTATTGTTGAATCTTATTGTCTTTATCTTTCAATATCTTTGCACGTTTCTTTCTAGCCTGTTTCTTTCTTGCCTCAACTAATGCATTTTCTGACGACCTTAATGGCGCCGGACATTCTAATGTTGGGCCAGTAGTAGAATCTGGTGTATTTTCCCGGACAAAAGTATTAGTTATTTCTTTCATGGCCCTTTTTTTTGACGATATTTAGTACAGCGCTCTTTCCAAGTCTTTTTAGCAGCCTTATGCTCGCGACGACTCATATCCTTAACCAATTTTATGCTCCCTTTTTCTTTCATTTCTTCTAGTTTTTGAGGGTCATTTTTAAGGCGTTGATATCTCAATTGTTCAGCTATTCGTTTTTGTTCTAATATTTCTTCTCTTGTTTTGGGTGGCTTCTTTTTAGGTGGCATTTTGAGCTATAACCTACGAAAAAGAACGATAATTATATTATTAACGCTGAGGAAGATTGATGCGCTATCTAGCAATGAAGTCTTTACAAAACTTAAAAAACATTCCCCTGAGGTAAGAAACACTCCCCTGTGCAAATAAATGACAGGGGGATGTTGACCAGGGGAATGTTTTTTTAACTTGAAAACCAAATAACACAAAATCATTAAAACATATCACATTTATAACACAGATGTGCAGACATGATTGCTAGTAAAATAATGTAAACAAATTATCTTATTTAAAACTCTTAAAATATGAAAACAAATGCTCACCAGTGGAGTGTTCGTACTAACGGCCGCGACGCGTGGTTCACATCCAAACACAGTGGTGCTACTGACAAAATGGCGGCTGTCTATTTACATTTACAACCGAACGAACTTCACACCGTTTGCGTTCCATTTCACCGTTGAAATGTTTTAGACTAATAACGTAAGTGATTTTCGCGCCGTTTTCAAATGTTACCAGGGTAGTGTTTTAAAATTTGAGGACAAACTTCGTAAATTTTTTTTCAAATATTTTTTTATTATAGGCATGTAATTTGTAATTTAAAATATGCCACAGTCTTCTACAATTACATATTATTATCATTTAGTAACGAATTGACAAGTATTAAATATATAAATGGGTATCAATACTTTCAATTCTGGAAAAGAGACATACCAGGGGAGTGGTTTTTGAGATGTATAACATTTTTTTTCTCGAAAATTATTATATTAAATTATATAATGAGCAATGGTGAACCAAGAATACCACATTTATGTTCATATTAATCCTAAACATTTTTAAATTATAGTACATTTAGGGAACACACTTTTTATTTGAACCGAACCTTTTAAATTCCCGAACGCATCCGAAGCGATATTAAAGCTATGACGCTTGACTTGTTCTCTTCTAACGCGCGAAAGCATGTTGTGAACACGACTTGTATTATTGTTAATAGAATTTAACTAATTTAAGGTGTTTTGGCTTAAGATAATAATTAGTTTACTCTAGTTAAGGTTTTATTGTTATTTAAAAGTCCTGGCCTTATAAGAAAACTATATTCTTATAAGAATTTTATTAGAATCCTTAATTCAGAAGTGGGATAGCATTCACGTTCATAGTTATATTTATGTAATACGTTTTTTGATTAAGTACCTAAAAAGTAATAAATAAGATAAAATATGTGTTTTCAAATCTACTTTAACAATTACTTGCGAGTGAATAAGACTGATAGATAACATTAGTCTCGAAACACGTGGCGTGGACAAGACAACCACCGTTGGTTTTGGAAAATTGGAACAGAACTCGATCTAAGAATATAAGTTTAGATCACGATCGAGAAGTAGGACATATTCTTTTTCAGGCACCATATTACGTTTCAGTACATTAGAAGTTTAACGCTAGCTCAAGTAAAGCGACTAAACAGCGAAGTTCAAAATGACGAAACTGTTGGTTTGTATACTCTTTGACTGCGAGATTAAAACAAAACGAACAAGCAATTCAAATTAAGGCGTGAGTCTAACAGGTACAAATTTTGTTTTATTAATAATACACGCATTCGGTAAGTTTTATTTATTAATTCGTAACCTTTATAAGGGTGGTTAAGTTCATGTTTACCAATATACAGCCACGGGCAAAAGTATTAGGCACCCTACAGGAAGACAAGTTTTAGGGTGTTTTAGCATAGCGAGTGTAAATAAAACTGTATTTATGATTACAATGGTTTATTTTAAGAAAATAATTAATATTTTGTAGGTCCACCTTTTGACTTAATAACCGCAGCCACTCTTTTTGGCATTGACTCTACCAGCCTGAAACATTCTTCTCTTGATATATTTTTCCATTCCTGCTGTAACGCGGCCAATAGAGCTTGTTTATTGCTAATCGAGTGCCTGCGGATATTTTTCTTTAAAATGGACCAAATATGCTCAATCGGGTTGAGGTCTGGTGATTGTGGTGGCCAGTCCAAAAGATCAATATGATTTTCAGCAAACCACTTCATGGTATGCGCGGACTTGTGACAAGTGGCGTTGTCTTGCTGAAATTTCAGGCCATCGGTGTTTGTATCACCGAAAATTTGCGTTATCGACGTTGCTAGTGCTGTTTCCAGAACTTCAGTGTATTTAACACTATTCATTCGTCCCTCACACAACACCATTTCGCCCACTCCGTCGGCAGCCATGCAGCCCCAGATCATTATTGAGCCTCCACCATGCTTAACAGTGGGAACCACACATTCTTGGTTGTATTCTTCGCCAACCCTTCGCCTAACATAAGTCACACCGGGTGTTCCAAACACCTATGCCAAACGAAAAAAACACATTTATTTTCAAAGTTATTATTTTTCTTGTAGTACGTTATTTTAAAAACATTTATGTGTTTTAATATTGTACATAAAATAAATAACAATACCTCAAAGTTAGATTCGTCTGACCACAGTATGTTGGACCAATCTTCCACTGACCAATCTCTATGTTTGAGTGCCCACTCCAACCGATTTTTCTTATTGTGTTCTGACAGCCACGGCTTCTTCCTTGCTTTACATCCTTTTAATCCAGCTTTAAGAAGTCTTCTTCTCACAGTATAAACACTCACTGAGCTGCCTTTTGCCTCAGATAATGCTGTAGCGAGCTCTAAAGCAGTTTTTTTTCCTGTTTTGTAGAGACTGCCTAATCAACAATCGATCTTCCCGTTCAGTAGTAACTTTTCTTCTGCCTGTTCTTGGTCTATTTTCATGGGTGCCAGTCTCTTTGAAGCGATTTATAGCATATTGAACTGCACATCGCGAGCACTTCACTTCTCGGGCTATTTTAACCTGAGACATGCCTTGTTCATGTAAAATCTTAATTCTTAGACGCTGTTCAGCACTAAGTTCAGATTTTTTCGGCATGATTAACACGTTAAATGTTAGTCTTTAGAATTGTGATAGGAATAGTTGCGTAGAAGACGTGTATGTTCACTGCAAGCACTGATAACACACTATAACCCGAAACGCAAAAAAAGCAAATTCGAAAAAACACCGCTTAGGAGCACACCTGGATGTCATAAATATTTTCTTTTATCTTAATTTGGTTAAAAATTGCCGCTAATACAATAGCTAAACCATAAAACACAGACTTGACCGCAATATAATGAGATAGTGACTAACAATAGGGGTGCCTAATACTTTTGCACGCAGCTGTAGTTTCACTCTTTGGCTTCATAGTGTCTGACTGTGGGTGAATTTTTGAATTTTTCTAGTTTTCTACTTTACTTACCGAATTCAGTAGCAATATTTATTTAATAATACACAAACTTCTTAATGCAAGTTGTCAGGTATAAAGAAAAATATTAGAAATTGGATATGAAAGATAAGGAACTTATTTTGATAGGCTTTGAAGTGAATTTAAAAAGCTATAGGGTTTATAATCCTGAAAACAACTCAGTTAAAACCAGTAGAGTCATCCTTATAATGTAACCAACCAAAAATACAATTAATATTACTATTGAGTGTAAGGTTTCAATGGGGATCAAAGTGAAAAAGAAGAAAATGGTAATGCAGATATCATAAATACTGAATGTAATGGTAGTAATGTCACATATTCCATAACATTCTTTAGTAAGTGATTCATATCAGAGTGTTTCTGATACAGCATCAAAACCAGACTATTATTATCATCATCAAATCATTAGTAGACTTGAGTCTGGACTTTCCCAAACTTTCCCTTTGGACAAACAATTTTATTTTATTTTTTATTACAATTGTAAAAAGTATCAGATAGATTCACCTACTAATATTTATGTATTGTAGAATCAGATGATCAGAATATAATGGATATTACACACAGAGAGCTTTAAATGAAACTGAGAATAAGTATGGAAGTAGAATTAGAGTCGTTTAAGATAAATGATGTGTGAGAACTTGTGGATAACTCTTGTGATTCTACGGTAGCTCAGTACAAATGGGTGTTTAAAAACATAGTCTGATGATGTTGGTAATGTGCAATACCATGCAAGATTAGTGGCAAAAGGTTTTTCACAGAAAGCCAGCGTAGGCTATCATGAGCCTTTTCCCTGTACTATATTATTCTACTCTAAGATTGTTATTTTCTTTAACTGTAAAATTAGATTTAGATTTACACCATCTGTATTACAAGAGCTTTCCTAAATGATTTTGTGTATATGAAAAATCTTGTATTGTATGAGGATGATAATAATGATGGTAACAAGGTTTAAACATGTCATTTATGGATTTGAGCAGTCCTTGCATGCATAGTAATGAGAGAGTCAGTGATCACTTAAAGTCTTTAGGTCATTTAAAATCTATGTATGAAGCTTGTTTATTTACAAAGTAAAAAAAAAAATATAATAATAATGTTTAAGTGATAATAGCTTTGTTTAGTTATAATAGCTTTGTTTGTATTCTTTAAATGTAAAATGACTACTAATCAGTTAATACAAAATTTAAGCATTAAATTTAAAATAGAAGATCTATGTCAAATAAAGCAATGTTTAGGTTAAAGAGTAAATATGTATGAAAAGTTATAACTGTTAATCAAGAACAATATGTGGAAAGCTTTCTGAAATGATTTAATATGTTTTATTGTAAAACTGTTGAAACCCCAATAGAGATTAATGTAAGGATAGAAAAATCTAAGAACAGTTCTTGTGATAAGAAAATTCCATATAGACAACTGATAGGTAATTTTATGTATTTAGCTGTCTTGACCAGACCAGACTTAGCTTACAGTGTATGTTATTTGAGTCAGTTTAATAACTCATATGATGGAACTCATTGAAAACACTTTGAATTACTTAAAAGTTACTAAAATGTTTTGCTTTGTTTTTATTAAAGAATAATTCTTATATACAAGGATATGATGATGCAGATTAGAGTTCAGATTCAAATGATAGAAAATCTTTTTCTGGATTTTAAGTTGTCTGGTAGAGTAATTTCTTTTGAAAGAAGAAAACACAGAAATATAGCTTTGTCTTGAACAGAAGCAGATAACATTTCCATGTGAGAAGCCAGTAAGGAGGTTATTTAATTAAAAAGACTATTTGATTTTGAAATTGAAGGCTATTTAATTTTGTAATTAAAAGTAATTCAGAAACAAGTACTTTTTATGAAGATTGTCAAACTGCATATAAACTTGTTTTGAATCCAGTATGCCATAGGAACATATAGACGTCAGATACCATTTTGTGAGACAGGCAGTAGCAGATAAATTTGTTAAAATTGATTATTTATAAACTGCTAAAATGCCAGCTGAAATTTTAACAAAAAGTTTAGGTTCTTTAAAGCATAAATATTTTAATTAACAACTTGGTATACTAGCTATTTCAAACCTTTTATCATTTTGTTAAGCAGAGGCGTTAGTATTATAATAACTATCCGTAAATATATGTGACTATCGCCATCTGTAGTAACTAATGTGTTTTGTGTAACCTTGTTTCCCTTGTCTATTGAACCGTCACTGTGTGTACGTGTGTATTATCAGGGAGCTCACCGGCTGCGGATACATCAAGTACAACAAGGCTTACGTAAATTGTCAGAGGCGGAGACAGCGTTCTCACAATTTTAATTATTTAATTTTCTTGATTAGATATTCGCAATTCAAAGGCAGCCCAAAACCTAGTATACGTGGACCCCCTGGCGTAGTTCGAGTCCTATCCGGTGGTTACTACCAGTTTGACCTCATCAGCGGTTCGTGTGGGGAAACTACACGAGCGGTGGCCGAGTCCATGGGTTACCTGTGAACCGAGAGAGGTGTTTGGAATCATGCGCAGTTCTTGGGAGTGAAACCTGGTTACATAGAACAAGCTGGTGACTGGCTTTGACACATAATCATGTATTGGACTAGCGATTGAGTGATGCTAATGTCCATGGTAATCATTTTCATATCATAAACCACATTATCATGTATTGGAGTAGCGATTGAGTGACGCTTCTGTCCATGGTAATCATTTTCATATTCATTTTCATATCATGAACCACATAATCATTTTCATATTCATTTTCATATCATGAACCACATAATCATTTTCATGTTCATATTCATTTCCATATCATAAACCACATAATCATATATTGGACTGGCGAGTCAGTGATGCTTCCGTCCATGGTTATCATTTTCATATCATAAGCGAGATGATCGTATATTGGACTAGCGAGTCAGTGATGCTTCCGTCCATGGTTATCATTTTCATATCATAAGCGAGATGATCGTATATTGGACTAGCGAGTCAGTGATGCTTCCGTCCATGGTTATCATTTTCATATCATAAGCGAGATGATCGTATATTGGACTAGCGAGTCAGTGATGCTGCTGTCCATGGGTTATCATTTTCATATCATCCTTAAAATATCATATTATTGAAGTGTTGACGCGCGATGCACTATTGCTTTCGTCAACCGCAGACAGTTGGGACGCCTTCTGTCTGGTTTGATTACAGATGCAGGCCTGGTTTGCGTCTCGACGGAACCTCGCTACGAACAGTGGTGTAAACAGGAACTTTAATTTAGAGGGCGGCCCTCACAGACTATTTTCATTTTATTTTTCACACGTTACATTACTTTGTGTCTTTACGTGTCTTCAATGAGATTATCACAATCTCTTGCAAGTAACTATTCAGATTTCAGATGAAGTAAATGATTAGATTGATTCATCATCATTGTCATTTCGACCAAGTACCGATACAGCTGGATATAGTGCCAACCCTTCAGCTGCAGTCGCGACCCTTCAACTGCAGTTGCGACCCTTCAGCTTCAGTCGCGACCCTTCAGCTGCTTTGGCAGTCCTCCAACTGCTTTGGCAGTCCTCCAACTGCTTTGGCAGTCCTCTGACTGCTTCGGCGGTCTTCCGACTGCTTAGGCGGTCTTCCGGCTGCTTGGGCGGTCTTCCGGCTGCTTGGGTGGTCTTCTGGCTGCTTTGGCGGTCTTCCGGCTGCTTCGGCGGTCCTCTGACTGCTTCGGCGGTCCTCCGACTGCTTCGGCGGTCCTCCGGCCGGCTGCTTCGGCAGTCCTCCGGCTGCTTGGGCAGTCCTCCGGCTGCTTCGGCAGTCCTCCGGCTGCTTGGGCAGTCCTCCGGCTGCTTCGGCTGCTTGAGCGGTCCTCCGGCTGCAGTTGCTTCACTGTCAACTGGCCTTGCCGAGGAGCGCGCCGAGGACGACGCTTCGTCAGGATTGGCCGATTTAGGAACACACTTTTTATTTGAACCGAACCTTTAAATTCCCGAACGCATCCGAAGCGATATTAAAGCTATGACGCTTGACTTGTTCTCTTCTAACGCGCGAAAGCATGTTGTGAACACGACTTGTATTATTGTTAATAGAATTTAACTAATTTAAGGTGTTTTGGCTTAAGATAATAATTAGTTTACTCTAGTTAAGGTTTTATTGTTATTTAAAAGTCCTGGCCTTATAAGAAAAACTATATTCTTATAAGAATTTTATTAGAATCCTTAATGTACTTATTCTAATAAAATTTGCTTGGGACAGTGATTTTCCATTTAGCAGAGAAATGCCCTAAATTACTAATATTTGTTATAATCTATGAAACATCATAATAAGATATTTTATTACTGGTCGTAAATTTTTCTTACTGGTCATTTCATCTCTAGAAAAAACGACAATATGCGATATAATCTATATTGTATACTAGTTTTGCCCGCGACTTCGTCCGCGTTAGTTTCGTCATTAGTAATATATGTATAGCCACTTCTTCCCCACCGAACCTATGACCTACCCCGCTCCCCAACCGTACGCCTGACACCGCTGCCGGTATTTATCACCGAAACGGTATTTATCGCCGAAATTGCTATGACTCTGCATTTTAAATCTGTGATATCTTCGAAAATATTTATTTAATTTACATGCTGTAAAAAGCCATATTGGTCTTTATTAAATGCACAATGTACTTAAGATACTTAATTGGATAAGGATTAATACTGTATTACTTAAATCGCTTCGTAAAGAAGCCATTATTTCTCGTACAATGTAAAGGATAAAAAATGGTTATTGTGGCTTTATTCCTAAGAGATAAACATATACCATCGCGGACTCTTTTGTAGACCTTTTTAAGTTGTACAATACTATAGTACATGGGGCTGGACGCAAACAGGATTCCCAGCCCCCTGCCAGTCAGGCGAGGTCGGAGCGCCACTGGGTTATTTTAGTGGGTATACCGGGAATCCTTTTCCCGGGGAGTCCCACATACCCCTCTCCGTCTTCAACGGAGAGGGGATGCGTAAAGCATTTTTTTCCCAGTGCGCACAAAAAAAAAAAAAAAAATACTATAGTACATTGATTTGATCTATCTTGTAGGATTCAGTCAGCGTTTGCAATGTAAGCGCAAAAAATGTGTTTTTTACGACCTCACATTAGAAACCTCAAAAATTGTAGCCTATGTGTTATTCTGATGTATAAGCTATAGCTTATCTGTTATTCTGAAGTATAAGCTATATTGTGGTAGTTTCATTCAAATCCATTTAGTAGTTTTTACGTGAAAGAGTAACAAACATCCATACATCCATACAAACTTTCGCCTTTATAATAGTAGTAGGATGAAAGAAAGTCGTGTTTGTTACACATATGACTCGAGATCGAGACCAATTTTCACGGTTTTTTGTTCGTTGGATTTGTCTCCGTCCCGAATAGCAGATTAAATGTTAAAAAAAAGAAAACTTAAAGAAAACTCGACGAAAACATGTAAAGGATCGAACCCGGGTTCCCAGGATCGATCGTACGGCTTTACGGTTACTCGATTATGAGGCCCTCAGTTATACGGATTCGCGATTGTCCGGACTAAGGACAAGAAGAAATGTCCAAGCGTAAGAGAGTGGTGGTGTTGAGAGTGGCGTACGTCAAATGACAAGTAATAAATATCCTAAACCAAATTAATAATTATTATTATTATTCATGATTACCAATTTCATATCACCAAATTGTAATTTATTTTTAAATAACATATAATATTATGAACTACATAAGCACAAAACCGTCTTTTCTTCATACAATCGATTATCCGGATTTTCGATTATCCCAATGCCTTTCGACGATAATTAGTCCGATTAAAAGAGTTTCTACTGTACATAAAAATATAAATGTTACATTTTAAAATTGTTTTTTTGAATATTATTAGTTGAGATCTGGGCAGATTATCGAAATACTAGACTTATACTATTATAGTATTAATTTAAACATATAATATATGAGAAGAAGACAGACCATTGTCATTCAAGTCAGCTGTATATAATTATTAAGAAATTAAATTCATTGAGATAAAAAGGTAACAGATATTTCTTGATTATAGGGCGGTACGAAGTCCGCCGGATCATCGAGGGTCATACAAGAAATTATGTCGAGTTTAATTCATCTAGGAAAAGTTATTAAAGGATTTCCCCCAACCTTGCGGAATCAGTTGCAAGTTATAAGAACAGTTCTTGAAATAAATAAAGAACTCGATAACGGGTACGTATAATTCAAATAACACTATTAATTTACAATAATTCTATTTAACTCATCTTCTCTCATTTTTAGAATATCTTCGTTGCCCGTTGGCTTTTTGGATAGAACTGAATAGAATGCTTGTGAGCTCGCCCGCTACATATCCTGTACCGTTTTTTAAAGATTAATGATTTTTAAAATTCATTTTAAATAGTTCAAGACTCTCTATGAATCTCTCCTTAATGCCATTCTACCTTCAAAATCTTACGACATGTTTGGACGTCACTGGTGATTTATTATATTCAAATGCATTTATGTACTTACTTCTCGGTAACAGCTTTAGATTACAGTAATTTTAATGTTTTAATAATATTTTTTCAGCCTCATATTCAGTCATGGCATATCAAAGTGTTGCTTTGAAGGACCGTACGGACTATTCCATGCAGTTGCAATCTGTTTTTGAATATTTTATTGAAAACTTCGGTACATTGGATTCAACGGCATTACTCAAATTGTAAATATTGTTTTCTTATATTTTCAAATTAATAATTAAATCTTCACATGCACATCTGTTAACATAATATTTTTTTTTACAGGAAATCAGACGCTATATTCGAAAAAAAAAAATACGAACAGCTCATTGATTGTCTGTTATATATAATTTTAGAAAATTATACAGTAAATGAGAGTATCTTCTATCTTCTATATATATAAAAATGGATTGCTGTTCCTTAGTCTCGCTAAAACTCGAGAACGGCTGAACCGATTTGGCTTATTTTTAGTCTTGAAATACTCCTGGAAGTCCAGGACAGGTTTTAAAAGGTGAGAAAATTTTGGAAAAATTGCCGGGGAAAACCCTAAAAAACAGCCCTTTTCTATTTCCCATACAAACAATTTTTTGACATTAGACTTGACTACTAACTAATATGTCAATCATTCTGTTCGATTGAAACAGTAGAAATTTAAGAAATACCAATACCGGGTTATTGAAGACGGAATAGAGTTTGCCCGGTCAGCTATACCTATATTACTAATGACGAAATTAACGCGGAAGAAGTCGCGGGCAAAAACTAGTTATAGATAATTGTGACGTCATAACTGGAGAGATACAATTATATTTTATAGGAGACGCGAATATTATAGACATGTTGAAGGCAAAGCGACGATATATATATAAGCAGATTACAAGTTCTATCGCAAAAAAAAAAAACGACACAACAATATGAGAGATAAAACGAAAATATTAACTGCGGAATTATCACTGTTGACTAGTCTTCCATTTCCTTAGGGCTTAGAATAATGGTAGAAAAAAGTCCCATAGACCACGTTGAAAAAGTACAGACTCAAAGTGAAATATATAGAGGAATGTGAACTTACATAATTAAACTATATCCATAAAAATGATGTGGACGTACGTTAAAAATGTTCCCTAGATACGTAAACACGATGATTTTTAGATTTTCATGGTAATTTAATAACTGTTGTTTGTTTTTTAAAAACAAAATTTAAGAATTAAAAAACTTAACGGTTTGGTTTCTGGCCGCATCCTATTGCATTTAAAGTTATGTTAAAGCAAAACTCAAATGTAACCAAACCTCTCTATTACTTCGTTTAAAATTCACTTCTGGCTTTGCCACATGTCACGCGTAATTCCTTACATAACAATTGAGAAAAAAAAAAACTTTTTTTTTACATTTTTTACGCTATTGCAATTAAATTTATAGATTTTTAAAACCGCTATACTTATATTAAACATCAATTTAAAAGTGGTATGACCTAATAGAAAATCTTGCTCACAAATTGATTTCTTTACAGGATTGTCAAGCACTTTACCAAGTCCGTCCCGATCTGATAAATCAAGTGAAGACCCTGTTATACCAACCTTTTGTCAACTTGCGGTACAATGTAGGGTAATTATACAAAGCGGTACCTACGAGAAAGCCATTACAAAACCCCAACGTGTTACGGAAACGACTCGTGGTTGCATCCTGTTAATGAGTTTGCAAAAAAATGTCCTCTTTTCGGTGCTTTCCCAGACTTAGCGAAACCCTTACAAGCTCACTGTCTCAAATAAATGACAGTGTGACGTCTTAAAGGACGCTGATTCTGATTATCTGAATTGATGTGACTTTCGAAGGAAAACTATTTGTTACCAAGCTTGATGGTGCTAGTGTCGATATTAAAGACGAAAAGTCCGAGGAATTAGTGAAGTATCCAAAATGTTCTATGTGCGTTTCTTTGTTAATTTTTTATTCACTATTTTTTTCACACAACTGTCCGAAATTTTCAATTACAATGGAAAAACTTTGTAAGTTAATCATCCTTACGCTACGATGTTAAAACCATGGTTTATAGTACATTTTTTTGATAATCTTAATAATTTTTCGTAATATATCAGGTGGAACAGTTCAAAAGTTGACTTCTACCGCGTCACCTTGGATTTCCGAAACAAGGCAATGTCTTCCTCTCCTAGAAAGAGGCAAGAGAGAAGCGACAAATGAATTATATGTGAATCAATGGCCAGACTTTCCGACTTATGAAAGATATTTAGTATACTTATGTAATACATTTTTCCTTTCGTTGACTCATACCTTGTTCTCTTCAGTATTGAGTTCAGACGCGAATTGCATAATGTTTATCTCATATAATAGATATACTAAGGAGGTTTTCGCGACATCTATCGTCTATGTCCACTAAAATTTCTACACGCTAACACGTATGTTATGGGTTGGTTTTAACTACTTCGAGTTGAAGTGACTAATAATGTTAATGTGAAG